GTTAACTCCTTAATTTTTTTCATCTTCTTTGTTACGGCAACTTTTATTGGATAATATAATATTAAATGTGCAAGTAAATCGATCCCAATGACGCATCGATAATAGCGAGTTCTATTTTATGAGCTTTGAACATGTGTAAGTATGTATGTGTGTGTCCTGTATACGTCTCTTTGTATTCTATTCACAATAGACGCTTTAAATTGTAACGATTTATAGTATAGCTATACAAGCTAAGAAATAGAATCAATTGGATAGTGAAAAATCAATAAACCGAATTGTAAAAATCATATCATTCTAAAATCACAAGAAAAATATAATATCTCTCTATTGTAGCTAAATACTGTATAATTCGCTGTCGAAAACTTTGAGTGATATGCCACATATAATATATGTTATGCATATATTATGAATATAACAAAACTTTCTGACGTATCCTTTTTTATATATCATAATAGATGTAATCTTTTTTAAATATTGGTAAAATGTCAATCATGAAAACAAATAATATAGCTCGCGCATTGTTGTGTGTTGTGCATAAATTCGATGTCAGCCTTAAAACTTACATTATTACAACAAAAAATGACTCGACAAACTCCATAATCGCAAAAAGCTATGGATAATATCTATTTATAATAATTGAAAGTATATTTTCCATTAAGAACCTGTCGCGAAAAATAATAACATATTCAATTGAGACTTTTACAGAACTAACATGGACTCGTTATTTTGCAATAAAAGGATTTCTTTCTACAAAAGAATATCGGGGAAGCTAATCTCCGAGTGTCTTAATGATTCCAACTTTAAATGCCAACTTTTGTAATTTATTATAGTACAAGTAAAAATCGCTTAATATTTGTGAATATTGCAAACTGTGCATATTATTTATATAGATCCTTTGAGAGCATATAATAGCCATTCAACAGTTCTCATTTAAGTTACAAAAGTTCAATATGTGAAGCTGAATGACCCATTCTACTCATTCTAAAACATTAGCACAACAGATACACAATACACGTGTACATAAATGTAATATTTACATATTAAAGTTATACGCAATTTATATATAATGTGGCACGTCGCAAAAAAGATCGCTGGCAATTTAGATATAATAGAACAATCGTATATGAGCTTCTCGCTTGTAATCAGTTTAACAAGACCGTTGTAAGGCATAAATAACCCCGTCTGCATCTTATCGCCGAAATCGATCACGGGTTACAGTTGTACGTGCAATTATTGCTCGGCGCAAAACCACGCAGGTATAACGGCGTTCTTGTTCTTCGCGCAATCCGCATCTACCGGGTGACAACTAATTCCCAGCGAACCCGGTTAAGCCTTTCTCGCTGGTTCCCGCGCGTAATTAGAAGGGACAAACTCCGAGGTACGCGAGTCTTCCGCTAATTTGCATTGGTTTAACAGCCAGTTTCAGACTACTTGGCGTCGCGTTACATGGCTATCCTCTAATTTGGAAGAACGACAAACGAGAGTCGCAACACCTTAACCCGCCCTCTTTTTCCACAGATTAATCATACTTCGCGAAATGCGATTTTAATCGTTTTCACACTTCTCGTAATCCCGCTATATATCATTTATTATATATATTTTTTTAAATAATATATATATAATATTTATAATAAAAAAGATTTAGGCGAAAAGAATAATTGCAGAAAAATAATTGCATCCAATACGGCTCATTTGACATTTAAGGACGTCCCTAACATTTATGTACTTTTCATTTCCTGCGTGAGTGAAAATGAAGACAGCTATTTCGGGGGATCAGATGGATAATACAGACATGTAAAATATAAACTTCCATAATTTCAGGACAATTGACTTTCGTTTTGGTCATATTGGATGCAGTGGCTACGTGTGTCGTATACGTGATCAAAGTGTACAGTGATATTGTTACGATATACTGTCTATTGTTGTTTGTTAATAAAGGCAATTACATGGTACCCCGTATGCTTCTATCGTGATTACATACGACTAATAATGCCCGCTAGTACTTGTTAATAGTGGCGATATTATGTGTACATCTCGGTACTAACTGTTCGTATATCGTTATCATTGATGGTGCTACTTGATGTGACGTTGTAATTCGTATAATACCGTATCACAAATTTGTCCCTATCTTCAAGCACAATTGATGAGTCGGTAATTACCGAAAAACATTTCTCGTTTACGGGCATTATTGTTGTAAACGTACATTGTTATGGGAAACGAGATCTTGTGCCGATCAGTCAGCGAACAAGTCGACGTACCCAGAGCTCATCGTGTTAAATCTTTCAGTTACTGTAGCTATTAGAAATTAGACATAATTTTATCTAATGTTTGAATTAATCAAGATACTGTATATCAATAATCGAGGAGACGTGAGCTTCGGTATTTCTCGTTCTCCATTGCCATCTCCGGATTTAGAACTGACATCTTTCCCTTCTTCCTTATCGAACGTCTCTCCTACCATACAAACTTCATACTATGCTCCTGCAAACTTTATGTTGCAATAACGGAACGCCACTGGTAAAGTCAAAAATAAAATTGACAATTTATGGCGGTTATACGGTAAAACGAGCGTACATGCAAGATGAGCTGTGTTTCTTAGGAGAAATGCCGATTTAAAAAGGCACATTTAGATAATGTTCTGATAAAACAGAAAATAATAAGCTAATAAAAGATTAAAATTAAAAATACGTCGAAAGAATCAAAATATACTTACAATTGATACAATTAATAGATGCAGTCTTAAAGTAACGTAATAAATAATATTTTTCGATAGTGATGATGCATTCTTGCTTATTGCAGAGATATGGGAGAATAAATAAATGCCGATACATTCCACCGCAACGAAATTAACCTCATTTGTGCGCAATGAGTCGCAAATTATTATTCTCAGTCGATAATCCATAATTATTCATTACGCTCATATAACCGTAAATAGTAATTATTAATTTAGCCCAGCGGCAGCTTTTTGTGCACATTCGACCGAATGACACTTTGCATTTGTTCAAATTACGAGCCAATCCAGATGGCACGCCTTTGGTAATAATAATTACTTGTAATGAACGATACATTATGCAGATGCAGAAGACATACCGATTGTAAGATGTTACTATTATAATTGTTTCCCGTTATATTTTTTTATGACATAAACGCAGAAAACATTAAATAATTAATAAAAATTTCTCGTGCAAATTAACGAGATAGATGTAATGAAAAATACAATTTAATATGCAATGAGATACATTACGGTTGCCATTGCACAGGCAAAAAACTTAATAAAACAACAATGTATGTACGTACAATTCGACTGCAATTGGCTTGATGTAAATTTAATGAAAAACACGTAATTTACGTACTGTATTATTCATCAAAAATAAAATGTTATTAACATTAAAACTTTTAAACATTTTTACAGTTAAAAATATATTGTTTGCATACTTTTCGCTAATGCACTTATTTTGCAAAAGTTAAGCAACTGCGCAGAATGTGACACATGGAACAGAATGTGACATGAAATGTCGCAAATCAAAAAATTCTCAAAAGTATTATTTTTACAAAAAGTACAAGCTGTTACGTTTTAAGCATATTATATCACGCGTAATTGCTCAGGAATATTTTTGGCGCCGATAAAACGCCAAAACCTCGCCATCTCCGCAGAATTGAAAACCGACAATAATTTGATCATAAAAAAAAGTCACAGCTCGGACGACAATGAGTCGCGCGAATCTTGATTCTCATAATTCATTGTGTCTCATGTCGCTTCATGATGAATCTCGAGGGACAGGCGTCTCTAATTAACCCAATATCCGCTAGGTATGGACATTATAGCTGCGTTGTATCCACGTGTTAACCGAATTGTCCCATGCGTGCGTTGTGTCACCCGCGAATCCTCGTGATAGATTTGAGATTTCGAATTATGAATTCTCTTTGCATCCGCGTGTCAATTCCCTTCTATTATTCTAGCCCTGTGTTTCCTATCCTGGGTATTTCTCTTGAAAATTACAATAAATTGCTTTCTCTCTCCCTCTTTTTCTTTCTTTCTCATTCACATAGCGGAGCTAAATGAGCAATAATAAAAGAACGACTCTGCGCCATCGAGGTCCCGCCGCGTCTCTCGATGCAAAGTAATGCACGCGCATCAACGACCGTCGCGCGTCTATCCCACTTGGTCTCCGTTGAGGGTTGAAAAAGACAAGCAGAACTTAAAGAGAAAGAGAGAAACGCAACCCCCCCCGCGAACGTCAACACGCGGCATCGCGTTGCGTCTTCGCTTTCGTTTTAATTGTGACTATTCAGAGGCGTCTCCGTGACCAGCATTGGAGAACACGCGACGCGACGCGACGCGAGGCGTCGTGTCGCGCCGAGCCGAGCGGAGCGGAGCGCGCTGGCCGTGTCGCATCGTACCCGGTGGATGCTGCAATAAAAGCCCACACCGTTCCGCGTCTGAAGCGCGCGCGATTAAAAAGGGCAAAATATGAATGCACCACGGGACGCATTCCGCCGAGCGCGGCGAACCCTTCCTTTTTTTTTTCAGCGACGGCCGCCACCGTGCGACGGTCCGAGGTCCATAGTGTCGCGTTTGTTCCTTTTCCTTTATTTTGTTCGAATGCGTTTACATTCGCGCCGGTAGCGGGCTTTGGGCATGCAACTCGCGCGAAACGCGTACATCCGTCGGGCGCTGCTTATTGTTGACTCACGTGAATTGGCCAAGCACGTGTTGAGAAGATCAGAGATAAAAAGGCGTAAACGCGCTCTGCCTATGATTGCTAAAACCCTTGAGCTTTTTATTGATAATTGAGGCAACAGTTGGGAAAAGGACCGCGGATCGGGGTGCGAGAAAAACGCTTGGCTTTCGATAAGAGCTACGGCAGAGACTTTACACTTACTAATTGTCAGATACCGCTCGAAATTGTATATTTCTTTAATATTGTTGCGTGGCATCGCAATAAGATAAAATTAATACTATGATACCTGCATACTGGAGTAAAGCTCAAGACATTCACCTGTCATAGTAGTAGTCCCTGAAACATACAATAAAAGCAACTTATATTAGACAAACGGTCGACATATATAACAGTCTTATATGTATACACTAATTATTATTTAATTATATTATGTATTTTTTGTCTTCATTAAGCCGTAAGAATTATTTATTTAAAGCAATTAACGCCGTATATCAACACCATATAGGGAGCACAAGGTAGGGCACTTAATTTTACGTTTTTGTATCAGCGTGACAATTAAATTGATATAATATTGTTTACTAACGATCACGCAATATAAAAGGTGAAATGCAAGCGTGAAAAACATTCACAAATTTGCGTCGACCGAAATATTCGAATGTTATTTCGCAATCTATATATTGCGGTGATTGGGCACGAATGGCGAATCGATTGACGATTACCAGAGCGTGTAATTTGAACTACAGGGTTCTTCAAAAGAGAACTAAATAACGTTTACTTGCATGATATAAATTTCAGTTTTCGTGGGTCAGTATACAATATCACATTATATATATCTATTAAATTATATGATGTATAAAAGTCAATAAGAAAATAATGCGGGATTTTGTATCATTGAAATCAAAGAAGAATTTAGAGAAAGGCATAAGTTTGTCTCATATGGCAATACTTTTTCAGTGTCCGTAAAAAAATTCTCTCATATCTATATATTTTTTATGTATTTATATTTAAAAACAATCTTCGGTTTGCAGCAGTCGGGAGTAAAAAATATATAAATTATTTAAAACAATCCTTTTTTTGTAAAGTGCCACTTCCGGTAGAAACATCGGTGAAATCCCAATAAAAATAGAACATATTAGACTCGTGATAACACTCCTGTCAGTTGTCGATCCTATTGTAGAAAATGTACAGTTTTATAAAAAGACTGGCAGAATCTTCGCCGTTTTTGCAATAATCGATTTTATACACGCCACAGGCGTCATAAATTACATTTCTACGATCGCATGAATATATCCACGTGACTTTCCGAGGTTTTCCGACGTAGGTTCCAAAGATTTTCAGACAGGGTACCAGCAGAGAGCCGACAAAACGAATCTCCTGGTAATCGAATCGCGTCGAACTTTAATCGAATTCGTCCTACGAGGAGCGTTTCGGTCAATAAATGCTCCATTAGCTGCAGTTTAAATGTGCGATTTCTCGCGGCAAAAAGGGCGAAACGGCGAAACTTTTCGCTGCGAAACATTTGATAAAATGGTTGCG